GGTTCAGCCTTTAATTTTGATCCATCTGCTCAAACTAATGAGACATCTCATTTATGGGCTTCACTTTGAATTACCAAATGTAAGTGGAGCTATATAATTCCTCTTGGTGAACCCCCTCCTCCTGTGTAACTTGTGGGAAAGGATAATAATGAATGACTTAGACCAACCACATTTTTGTCCAGTTATGGAAACTTTCAAACAGCTACTCAGAAAACAGAGATAAGAAAGTTTGCCAGGTGCTTTTTAAGTTAAACTGCTCTTTCTGTACTGCTGACTAAAAATGTAGATTTCCATCACAAGACTCGTTTATCAAAAATACAGAGACTTCAAGTGACATCTCCTTGAAGCCATTACATTTGAAATATAATAAAGACTTTCTAAAAACTTTTAAACATGCTTAGCATAAGCTGTTGTACCTTTGTTCCTCATACTTATATTTAACTTACTGTGTTCTCATTTTTGTCATTTTCTTCTTAAACCTGCTGGTTGGTTAGAACTTCCTGACTGATTTGCTTTTTTTCAAATAAATGATTGATTATTTCAAAAAAAAGTGATAATTATACACAGAAGAGGCTGTAGCAGCAGTGAGGAAAAAGGAAGTCCTACTACCAGTGATTACCTTCTCAGCCAGCATTGGTGGGATTTTGTGAGAATAGCACACAGTTATTTGTTTCAAAATATAAGCCAGGCACACACAGCCTAGAATTAGATGAAGTAATTTAATTCAATTACGGTGATGTTACGTTTTTACTATGCATTATAACTGAAGTGAGAAAGTAGGTACATTGGGTTTTTTTCTAATTCACATCTGACCACACAAGCACTGCTTTTTTATCTTTGAAACTTAACAAAACTTTCATTTTAAAACAAGTTTTTTTTCTCAGTGTTTTACCTGCAAGTGTCTAGTTACTTAACAATCAAATGGGTATTTTATTGTACCTTCCTAGGTTGGCTTTGCTCTTTCTGCACCCAAGAGCTGATCGTTTTTGAAGTCACTGGTTGATGGCATAGGAAGCTACTGCTGTTGTATATTCTTTAATGTATTAACAATTCAATGGACAAGAAGGTCCCCCCCCCTTTTTTTGTCTGTTTTGTAACAATTTTTCACTATACCTCCATTTTCTATTTGATAACTCCACAACAAGTACATAGTTGCATACTAAACAGGACCAAACAAATATGAGGAGAGGTGCCAGACCAGAGAAACCTGGTTTAGAGAGGTTCAAGCTATAAAAAACATGTTTTAACACACTTCATTAGAGTTTGCAGCAAGGATTTTATTCTCTCTCCTTTCACATAGAAATCAGCATAGAACAGGGACAATGCACAGCTTTAAAATGCATCATAGTTGCTGAGTTTAAGTTGTTTGAGGCATCTTAACTCTTTAATTCTTTGCTTATCTAATTTTTGTCAATTTGAATCTTACACACATTTTATTACACACTGATATCTTTCTCACATATTAGCATGCAGACAAAAGAAAGCATATATAACAAACACAAACACGTGATAGTTTGTAGCCTGTCTTTTTGTCTGTCTGCATTTCTGTTTTTCTGATATTTTGCTCAGAAAAGGTCATTCCTACTTCAAGTGTTATACATGTGATCAGAAGGACTTCTTGGTGAAATTTAAATTGAACAAGGTAAACCATTTGTGAAAGTTGGGAAATAATATGTTTAAATCAACTTTGGG